CATACAATTCTAACCTCCTGTCACTAAGAAATATGATAAAAGTATGAATGAGAAAACAATCATTGCACTAGGTTTCACAAACCATGATGGTCTTTTTAATTTTAAATTAGGTACTTCCAATACTTTGAATGGTAATCGATATATGTATTCCATATTTAAAAACTACTTGAAACGTTGTATACGTATTCAAATGAAACTGAATCAACCCGGCAGATCCACGTTTCAAAATAACAATTATGATATAGCATATAACATAGACGAGGTACATGGATAGACTTAACATCAACGTAAAATTTGGAGTCCTGTTACCATTTTCGTGTCACGTCCTGTCATATCGACTTAGGCCAGTATTGTACGGCCACAGACTTATAATACGTACAGATGTTACAGCTTATGGAAATTTTTGTTTAGGCTTCTGAGCTACTCAGAACCCTCACAATATTTCGGTGACGCACTCGATTTTACCGATAATACACGATTAAAAGCTTGTTAGTAGGAGTCGTATTAAATATACACTTCATTTTTGCTACGAGTGTTTTACATACTTGGCAACGACAAATTCATATGGCGGGGATATTTGAACTATGGGGATACCATTTATAGGCAAAACTTTCGAAAACCTGAAAAATGGTTGGCACAGAGAGGAGGGGGTTAGCTTCATTTTGCATAAAAGCAATATTTGTGAGAAGGATTTTTGGCGATGCGTAGGTTAAGATGCAAAATTTTGCAGAAAAGTATTTTACCATTCCAGTATCACTCCCTGTAATTTTTTAAACTTTTATGCTTTGGTTGAGCTAATATTCTACTCACAATTTCATTTTGCACGGGGAAAATATTGACGAGAAGGATTTTTGGAAATTCTATAGTTAAGGTACAAAATATTACATGAAGCTTTTCACCAATGTAGTGTAAGTCCCTACGTTACCGTTACAGTATAGGACAAGTACTGCTTCACACTGTGCGCTAGAACAATTATTTTTGAAAACGCTTAAGAACATTGCAGTGGAAGCCGCAGGTGAGGAAATAAGGCGCTTCAAATTCATTTGGTACTCATTCTAACTTTCACTCATCTGGAAAAACCCTACAGTACTGACAGTTAAATGTCATGCGAGAAATGTTTAATAACCTACTACTGAGTCAGTGTGGATGTTATAAATCACTGAACGGATAAGAACGTATGCCTGCAAAACGGTTTGGAAGAACGTGGAGTGTGAAAGAAAAGCGTACATGCGACCGGTGTCGTTCTGCATCCGGGCGGCGCCGGGATGTTTGGTAAATAGTGTGACTGCGTTTGGAAAATCTTGAGTGGCTGAAAGAATGCGAGGAAGAGTATCTGGAACCGAGCGACTGGACCGCGAGAAAAGCGTGTACGTGACTGCATGAATTTTGACTATGGACGAAAGATGCGAGTGAGAAGGATGCAAGGGTAAGAAAGACAGAGTGGGAATGCGTGGCCGGGTAATAGTTGAGCGTGACTTTTTCGAGTGAGACACTCGGTGAGAGACATTTTGAGAGAGAGTTGGCGAGTAACCCTTAGCGAGTCAGCGAGTTATATTGAAATAAAGTGTTCTTCACATTTTTGTTATTGTTACCTAGTGAGTGTATCTTTTCTTTTTATTTCCCTACCACGGCAACACGTGGGATTTTTAATAAATTAATCTTACAGTGCTATAACAATATTATAAACAGTTAATGGTTTTAAATATGTGGCGTTGACGGTTCTTCCACAGAGTAAGCGAATTTTTTCGATCAGTTTGAGAATCGTAGTTACGGAGTCCGAGGGAACTGTCCGAGGCTTTTACAACAGTGTTGATGAAAATTTCAGCGTTTGTTCCATTGAAGTTCGGAATTAGTGGTAGAAATTGCTCATATATTTTTGCCACTGTCGGTGTAGAAAGTGTTTCTTCTTTTGAGGGAATTGGGAGAACTGAATGTGCGTTCGTAGGTCTCTCCCTTCCCCTTCCTCCGCCCCGTCTCTAATATTATTAATAACATTTAATTAAAGTCACAGTTTAAATCGATTAGAAAATATTGTTATTTTTTTATAGAATAAAACCCTCCAGAAGATAGCTTCCTAACGTTAGTCTTTTATTCTAGTAATAACATTCAACCCGATTCTGCGAATTAACAAACTCTTATAAGTGTCCTTTTTAAAATAAATACTGCATAATCACGAGATATATGAATTTTGTCAATCTATTTTACTATTTGACTCATTATGTGACGTCTCTATTTACGTTTGTTGTTTCGTAATTCTGTTCATAACGTTGATGAGATGTGAAACAGATTATTTTTTTCACTTACAGCATATTCGTTTATACTTATATGAGTAATTCCACAATTATTACACACACACACACGCGCGCTTTCACGCACGCACTCGCGCACACATATTTAAATTCAATACTTATCAAATGACTGAAGTAAAATGGTATTTATTATTTGATGCCTAGTTCAAATAATTAAATTGAACTTTCCCTTGAAGTTGTAGTTTAACACAAATATTTTTGATACTAGAGATTTTTATAATTTAATGCATCTTAATCGAAGAAGAGGTTAATTTAAAAGATTTCAAAAATTTACAAGTAAAACTCTTGTCCTGTTTATGAATGCTTTTAATAAGAAGGCTGTGTGCATAAATATTATTAAGCATAAATGGTACAAAAATTGATATCAAAAAGGTTAAAAATGTTAAATGTTTCAATATCAGAGTTAATGATATTATTTAGCAGTGTTCTTGTTATTTGTAAGTGACAAATTAAAGTATATTTACATTTTTTAAAAAATAATTATATATTAAGTACTACATATAATTTGATTAAAGAAGAAATTCACTTAGAAGGTGTTTAATACCTTCCCATGTTCTTAAAGTTATGCTGCTCACTGACATTTTGGGATGGACACAACTATTCTCATGGTTGGAAAATGGGTGTAGGTTTCCTAGTTTCTCGTTTGGTTATTCAGATCATAATGGTCCTCACATGTGGAAAACACTATGTTCAGCCAATAATGGTAGCAATCAATCACCAATCAACATTGCAACCCAGTTTGTAGTTGTACAATCATCAGAGCCTCTTCAATGGACTGGTTACAATAAAGGACCTTTATCTATGACTATAATGAATAATGGATATAATGGTACATATTCATCCGTTAATTACTTGACATTAGAAGTCATGCATCATTCAATACATTATGTATCATATAAATGATATTAATAATTATTCTTATTTAAAGTATTATTCAAAGCTTTGAATTACATTTTCTAACGTATTAGAATTATAAATTAATACTTAAGAAGACAAGTTATAACAAAAATAAGTGTTACAAATAATTATAAGTACAGTAGGCACCCTACAAGTGTACCGATTACCCACAAGCTGAAAAGTTACAGAGGTAAGAGGATTCTTCCACTCGCGATACTGTATTGAGTAGCTATAGAACCAGAGTACCCGTAGAGTACCTGGTAGTTAGGCCTTCACGGCGAATATACCAAGTTAATCAGACTTCCCTGTACCCCTGTGCACTTTTAGCCTATGGGTATTCGGCACAAACGTGGTTTGTCTACTGTACTATCTAATAGTGTGAAGGTCTCACGTTAGAAGGGAACTCTTCCACTCACGACGATCAGACCTTTGCGTACACTAATAATAACCATGCGTCCGAAAGCCGAGCGTTGTAAGTAGAAGAGTCCCCTTGATCCTCTTCACTTTTGAACCAAAGGTCGGCTTGGCTAACAATAATAACATATTAAAATTTTCTGAAAATTTTAGATGTCGTCAGTTTTGCTCTCTATTATTTGTTTTTTTAGGCAGATTAATTCCTTCTTGTGACAATATAAATAGAAGCAGTATACTCTACTTACAACAAATAAAACAAAATTTAAGTTTAAAAATGTTTTATTGCATAATCATAAAGATGAGAAGACAGTAGTGGATTTATTGTTTATAAATTACTATGTATGTTCAGAGCGTTAATTGCTTGGTCCAAGACAGTAGTAAAGTACAATAAAACTAACAAACAAAATTTTATTCAAAGTAAATGAAATGCATAAGTAGTTTATTGGATAAGAACTTACGTCAATAGTTATTTATTTATTATTCTCTGTATTTGTACAGTGAGGCTCGCTTAAATTTCGCAACTTCGGGTTTCTGCAGTGGAATTTAAGCGAGCAGGAGAAATAGGAGGAAGCTATTTCTTAGTAGGAATTGACTTAAGCACAGCCTGACAAAGGTAAAGAATCGATATAGTGAATGGACGCGGGATAAGATCGAAACGTTGGACTTCAAAGTGATGCTGCACGCGTGAGATGCAAACATACAATGAAGAAAATTTCAATTGTAGCCAGTTCAAAGCTACCTTCTCAAATATAGTGCCAGTGAATTTCTGAGATTGTTCTGATTGAAATGAATCCAAACACGATGGAAATCGGACTAGTTTTACGGACTTAATGTAATTAACGAAATTAAAGGTTCGGTTCCTCCAAATCGATAAAGTTATACCGATTTACGTTGTGTTCGAACTCATTTTAATTGAAAAAATTTCAAAAACCCATCGGTATTTGAGAAAGTAACGTTAAAATTACTGCAATTGAAATTTTTTCTATTGCACGAGTATATTTGTCGCGTACATTTACGTCTATCCTGTTTCTGCCCATTGTATTCATTTTCTGTCCCTGGCTACTGGGACACGTCAGACTGAGTTCAAGACAGTAAATGGGGGAAGAATAGGGCTGGAGTTGTGGAATTTAGCGGAGCAGATTTCTGGGAAGTTTAAGCAAGTCTCACTGTAATATCGTTTTGTATATATATTTATAAAATATCTGTTTTATTATTTTTATACACATGAAACATATTTACATTGATTAAATTAGGTTGTTTAAATACAATGCCATGTAATATAGGTTGCCTTAGATATTTGGCATGCTCTTATTTTTACAATTACTGAAACCTTTCAATCAGTTACATTTTAATTATTGGTATAATATAACATTTTTATATCTAGTGATAGTGAATGCAATGTGGAATGCATTAGCTCAACCATACATTCGGGGAGGACCACTGACAAGTACTTATAATTTTCATTCGATGGTTTTCCACTGGGGACAGTCTAATGAGGAAGGCAGTGAACACACAATAGATTATGTTCGATATCCTATGGAGTTGCAAGTGTATCACTTAAGACATGACTTTAAATCACCCATGGATGCCATTGCAATTGAAGCATATAATAGCATGCTAGTTGTATCATTCCTTTTTCAAGTTTGTATTTTAATGCATTTTCACTTATATTTATTCTAATTAAATACAAAAATTAATTGTTTTGCACTGCGAACATTACTAATCGCTATAATAAAAAATGCGTAAATATTTTTATACCCTACAACTTTCGTTTGAAAGATTTTCCTGCATCATTTATATTTTTTGAAATATTTTGCTGTTCACAGATAGACCAGATACCCTGTATACAGGGTGGACCACAAAGCGTGATCAGCTTAGATTATAATAACATGATTCAAGGAATGCTTTAAGGCGATTTTAGCTAACAAAATTTCTGATCTGTTAGCAACAAAATAATCTAAACTGATTATGCTTCGTGGTCTACCCTGTAAAAAAATGGCGAGCAACATTAAGAAAATGCTTATCTTTGATAAAGTAAATGCTGATATACAAACTGTTGTAATTTCATGAAAAAAATCAAACATTTTGACTGAATTTCCGTTTCAAAAATTCTACAAACTCGAATATTCCTGCGGATGTTATGGCATTTTTTACAACTAAATCCGTCATGAATTTGAGGACTGGAATCTTCCCCCGTAGAACGACAATTTAAAATTTGAAGTATAATTCTTTTTTCGTAATTTTATTTAATTTTCGATGAAAAATGTGTCGCTGATATAGAATAAGTCAACTTAGTCTATGAGAAAGTTGCATTTAAGGATTGTAGCCCTCATGTGTGGTGTGTGTGGTTAGTGCATTTTTAGTCTGTTTCATTTATTCAAAGTTATTTCATTAAGAAGCAGTGCACTTTTTATACAAAATCGAAAACAAGGTCGAAATAATTTTATTCGTGAATTTAAACATGTGTGGAGATATTTAAGTTTGTAGTATTTTCAAAATAAAAAAGTATGTTTACTTTCCTACACATTACACGATGTACGGTGCTGTAACAAGCAAAGCGACCAGAGAAAGGCGAACAGCAAAAGACCTTTTTTAACGACTAAATTTTCAGAATTCTTTTCAACACTCTTAATAAGGTGAATGAGGGTCATCGGTGACCCCCATCCAAATCGAATTATTATAATTCACTCAATTAAATGATGATTATTTGAAAACATTTCTATATTATAAACAATGCTATCTAATGCGGTGACGTTCCGTTAGATGAATGTGCAATAATAATAATAATGCAATTCGATCAAATCATTTAATATTATATTTTTTCCATTTTGTGTATTGTGCTCTTTGTTAAAGTCAAATAAGTTTCAATGTACACCTAACTCTCGATTTACACAGTATATTCGTTCCCCGAAAATGCCGTTTAGGTTGAAATCGTGCAATTCGAGTTCACAATTCACATTGAAAAGAAATACACACGTAACAAATTTAACAAATCCGTACGAAATAGTATTATTTATTTTTTTGTAAAATAAAAAATTGTATATATATTGAAAAAAAGAAATTCATTAACACGTTGACTGCCACAGTCATTTTTTCTTTTATAACGAAGATAAAAAGAAATGATTATCAATTATTTGGTACTACAGTTTTTAAGTTATATAATTATCTATTTATTTACGCTGTTGAACATTTTTCTTGGATGTCAATTATCTTACGAGGTATAACTGTTTTCAAGTCATTTGGAAGCTCCGGTCATTGGTAACCACCGTGGCAGTCAACGTGTTAATCCAACAAGATTGCATATGTAATTCACAAAACAAAAAAAATTAATGTAATTTTTGCATTTGTTTGGCTGGACCATGTTATAGTGAAATGCAAGTGCCGCGTAAATGGAAGTTCTTCAACCGTGTTAAACTGAAATTGTGTAATTCGAGGGCTAAGTGTATTGAGAAATAATTTCTTACGTAAATAATATATTGAAAAGTGAAAAAGATTATTTTCATTCATATATTGTTATTAAATACTAACTACTTAATGGTGAATTGCATCTACAGATCACAAATGCTGATAATCCTTATTTAGACCACATTATAACGAATTTATGGCGAATCCAACAACCAGGAAAGAAGGTTCATATCTCACCTTTTCCTTTGGAGTGGTTTTTCTCACCCTTTGAGAAAAATTATTACACTTACGGCGGCTCTCTTACGCAGCCGCCCTGTAGTGAAATAGTCACTTGGATCTTACACCCTGAACCAATCGCTGTATCTTCATTTCAAGTAAAACACTATTTTACAGTAATTATTCAGGAACATGCTTACTCCATATTGTCAATATTAATTTTTAATATAGGTTGCACAATTTCGATCACTTTGTTCAGCGAACGGTCCTATTCTTCTAAATTGCAGACCTGTTCAACGGATAAACAATCGTAACATCTATTTTTACGAATAACTAAACAATATATAGCTTACATAAAATAAATAATAAAATTATACACGTATGAAGTAACCACTACTTATTGAAATTGATGGGGTTTATATTACTTCTGCAACTAAAATTAATAAAATTCTTAAAACCATACGTGTATACAAACTGTTGTTCGCAATTCAACTTTTAAGAGTAAATAAGAGAAGAAATGTATTACGTTTTAATGAAATGTGAAATTTTATTGTACCTTATGAACTGCATTGATTTACGATAAATAATTTCATACTTAAAACACATTAAGCATTTTTAACAACGGAATCAATCACTCTTATAAATAGACGATTTTAGAATATATTTAATATTAAAATTTTAGCGAGTAGAGATCGCAAATGATAAGTAGAGATGTATATCGGTGATTACATAGTTGGGTACGTAATTACTATCTTATTATCGATCATCGCTGAAATCTAGAAAGATGAAGCTTTGGGGATCAAGGCCTACTACCGATTTCTTGCCTTTGACACAATGATGGTATTTGAGAGTTATGGACTGTGTTTATATTACTCACGAGAGGACTAACGAGGGAAGTTGCTCAACCTGGAAATTCAACATTTCTGAAACTTTGTGTGTAAGTAGAATAAGTCAAATCTAATACATTGCAATTCTTTTCGTGCCGAATTTCACTTTGAAAGGGTGAAATCACCCCTTGAAAAAATGCAAATTTTCCTTTCTCGTGAATTATCTTCAGAATGGTGTAGTGAAAAAAGGTTGAATAAAAATTACATAGTCCTTTCACGTCTATAAAATTATAAAATAAAATATTATAGACATAACTTAATGGACGTTATTTAATAACTGCTGTAATACGACGTTACTACCCTTAAAAAAATATCAATTTTTATTTTTTTTTATCTGCGTTCCCTCAATCCGAAAAGTATGGAAAAATAAAGTATTATAATACACAATAAGGCAGTAATTCCATGGAAATATAAAAGTGGTGCTCTGATAATTTAAATAAAAAATCAGCATTTATAAATTTTTCTAATTTTTTAAAAATTGATTTTGCAATATAAAATTCTGAAAAATTCATAGAAATGCACATGCACGCATAGAATAACTAGGATTTCTTTTATAATTTTTTTTGTCAAACAGAACATAAAATGTCAAGCATAAACTGTGTATAGCATTTCACCCTTTAATTATCCTAATAGTAATGGGTAGGGGCTTAAAACTTGGTACATAGAGATTTCCTCGAGAGATCTATCGAATGATATGTGCGAATGTTGATTTGGTTTGGAGGTACTTTTACCCCTCCTTATTCGGCTATGCTCCTTTCGATGCGATGGGTTTGAGGAGCCAACTTCCATAGTGTCGTCTACAATCCTGGGGCACTTTTTACAATCGATATCATAAACGATTTTAATCAACTTTCTCATCAATTGATTTCTGTAATCTTATCATTCTATGCTTATAGTATTCAGTCACTGTATAAAAGCGCAGCTATCATTTGATCTGCAACCATTTGCGTTTGAACATTAACACAGGATATTCCAGCTTTGTATGGTGAGTATTAAAAATAGTAAATTTTATTCATTTGAACGTATTTGTCATGAAATATTAGGATAACTATTTAAAGAAAAGATATCCTTACCGATTTCTATGATTTTCTGCTATGTTATGGGGAACATAATTCTCAGCAACTTTTTCCTAGATAAATTATAACTAAATATAACTCTGACTCGATTTTAGTTTCAGAGATAATTGCAAAAATTCGAGGCAGCATGAGCGTCAGCATGAGGCGGCTATTTATCTGACGTTTCATTTGGTATTAAATATTTTTCAGTCGTATTACATCGATGAAATCGAGACTCGTAGATATAATGGGTGAATTGTTTGGAACAGAAAGTACACTGATAACACAAATTTTCATCATAATTTTTTTGTAACAAAAGTAATACAGATTGGTATTGGTATTGGTCGTGGTAGTTTCTTTGGGTGGGGGGATCTTTTACTTCGTAATTGTCAACAATTCTTCTAGTCTGAATACGGCGGTTGTTTGGCAATAATAAAGTACAAGTGATAAGAAAAAACTACCCCAACCAACAGCAATACTAATCTTTATTATCTTGTCAGAGGAAAAAGTCGATGTAAACATCGGCTTTTACAACATTCCGAAGCCTGTCTTCTGAACAGAATTCAATAACTTAAAAAGTATAAGTAGAAGAAAAAAATGCTTCAGACAAAAGTTGCAAGACATAGAGCTAAACATATGGTGGTTATATTTTTTTACGTTACAAGGATATTATGAAGTTTTTAAATGACAATGGATACTTTGCGTTTCGATTCCAATGTTATATAAATAGAAGAACGGAATTTATTTGCATAAAATTATGTGAAATCAGAGCTACATGCTTCGGAGAATATTTTCCCTTGTTAAAAATCTGTATAAATATATTTAACAATGAATACAAAATAAAAGTATAAATACGTGGGAAACTCGGAATGTCTGTGGGGCAATCTTTGAGCGTACTAAACAGTGATTTGCACTGTAGCAGATACAGTTGCTACAGATACAGTGATTTGCACTGATAGCAGGGAGTTTGTATAGTTGCGCCGAAACGAAATCGGACACCAATGTTCGTTACCTCTCACTTCATCGCACTGTGTTTCGCTTATGTGTATTTGTGCGCGACTCGGCCAATAACAAGGTCGTAACAAAACTGAGGCGTCAGTGCTACCATCACCACCGGGCCGAGCGCCGCGAGTGAACGCTTTACAGTGGTGTTTTTTGACGAAAAACTGGCCAAAATTCATAATTTCATGCGATTTTCATAAAAGTTGGTATACTTAGATTTTTAGAGTTCCTAAATCTGACTATTCTGTTAAAAATGCAAAATTTAAAATGGCGAATCAAACAAATTTGTTAAGAGAAATTTGACCTGGCACATTAAAGGAGCTTGAATTTTCGAGACATTAAGAGGCTTGAAATTTCGTAAAGGTTGACGGTCTACATCTCAGTAAGTAGTCAATATATTTAAAAATTTTATAGGATCTTATAGTACGCTGCTACATACTTCGAAAATTGAATTTTGATCAGTTTTTCGTTGAAAGGCACCACTGTGCGTCTATCCTTGTCACTCTGCCTCTTAGTTCAGTGCTAATTGGTCAAGAGGTGAGAGTCGTGTAGTATTTTTAACGTACACATTATAGATAGTGGGGATAGTGGGAATCACCAATACGTCATCGGCCAGTTGACGTTACAGTCGGCGGCGCCGACAGATAATATAACGGTAAGAATTGCGTGTCGTCGTGCAACGGACTTCACGGAACTAAGATCGAATTGGAGTTGCAGGAAAAGATACAGGAAAAAGTTACTTAGAATTGCGTTCCCTACAACATACCCAAAAATCAAAAATTGGTGAGAAATAATTAATCGTCTTTCCTAAATAATTATCGAAACTTCGATTTCATCGATGTAATACGACTGAAAAATATTTAATACCAAATGAAACTTTGGTTTCATCAAAATAATACAGTTGGAAGATATTTAATATCTTACGAAATTTTAACTTCATCGAAGTAATCATAACTCAAATGATTTCCCCGAATCGTTCGATTTTCATTTATCTTATCGTTAAGTTTCTCGAATCTTTTTGTAGATGAATCTCATTGCGCAATGCCTGATAATTGTAGCGATGTCTACCTCCTTGGAGGCATTCAAATTGCCAATTGCTGTCTCGAGTAAGCTCGTGAAAGATCTCCAGAATATCATCGACTTAATCCCTATGGATAAATTCCTCCGACTGGTCAGGGCATACACCATTAAAGACCGGGAGTTCCAAACCAGCATGTATATTTTGAGCATGAGAGATGTAGGATCGCTTCTTTCGAACGACGTGCAGGAACCACAAGAGGCGGCCGAATTGCTTAATTTACCGGAAGAGATCATCCTCGATATCTACTATTTAGTAGATACTATAAATATGTACGTCAACTTTGTGTATGCTCAAGAACCCACTGAATCGGAACTCCAAATTACCGGTGGACTGGCTGGTTTCGAAAAAGACCTCGCAGCTCTGTTTCCTTCAGAGAAAATAAACGCTCTGATAGGGAAAGAGCAGATGGCCTGTAACACCTTGAACGACTACTATAACACTACGAACGGGCAGTCCGACAAATCCAACTTAATCACACACATAGGAAATCACTTCAGTGCTTCGGCCAGAACGGCCGAAAAGCATGGTCTCGACGGCAGGTTATTCGAGCAACTTCTCCCGGTGCTTTTCTTAATCAGAACTTTTGCTATTTAACAAATGTTTTTATCCTTGTTTTCTAATAAATATATGTATGATACAATTGTGTGGAGGATTAATAACAAGAAGTCGCGTATTTAACAAAATGTAGAGAATAGTTTAGTAAGTTATGTGCATAGTTTATTGTACACAGTTTACTAGAGTATATCGTACATAGTTTACTAGATCAGACTAGAACAGGCTTTCGCGTAGCACTCTCTACCCGCCTTCTTTCAGACTGCCATCAGTCTACCTTTAACCTTTTGCGTTCCTATGTCGAACATGACTCAACAGTAGATTTATTCGAAAGTGTGACATTTTTTAATTGTATTAAGTTGTTATACTATTTTTATAGTATTGGTAAAAAGAATTATTTACATTTCTTGCTATTAACTAATTGTCTTTCTAAATACATTTCAAGTAAAACACTGAAAGTAATAAGAATTATGGAAGAGTAAATGTGAAAGGAACTCGGAGTGCAAAGGGTTAAGGGCCCCACATATGCTGAAACATGTGGCGAGGCAAGCGGCGATTCCTAGGTTTCACAATGCAAATTGAGACATACAGAGTGCAACTAAATTGTTGCGCACAAATGATAGGGCGCGTACAACTTACGAAACTGAATAAAAAAACCTCAGTGAACATGGGTCCAAACTTAAATAGTTTCCGAGATAAAAATAGGTTTAATTTAAAAAGTAATGTATGAGGACCGAATCAAGAACACCGAATTATCTCCAAAGTATCAGTGATACAAACAAATGAAGGGGACATTTCTATATTCTTACGCCCCGCACCATCCCTCTCGAAGGATGCAAATCCACTGTTCGCACCACCGAAAGGGTGCCATAAAAAGTATACGTGGGAGACAGCGACCAGGCCTGGCGTTTTGGAGACAACGCATGGGTTTTCCCCGGAGCTGATGAAGGAATAACGGAATCGGCCTGCTGAGAGGAACCGGCCAATTTCCCAAAGAACGACGTCATTCTAACTACAGTTCTCGCTCTCGATTGTGAGGTGACTTTGTAATGTCCTGTAAAGGTCACGCCACAATTCTTAAATAAAACCCCATATGTTATTATTAATATTTTTATTTATATTTAAAATATTCCCATATTTTTAATTTATAACAGAAGCCGAAATTCAGACGTGTAAGGAAATTTTACGTGCGTGACAATGCCATCAAATGAAACGCATGTAGCCTGTGTGGGCGATGCTGATGTAACCTGATCCCGAAGAATCAAGTCAACATCCGGTCAACGGAAAAGTGCGTCGCAGCACTTGAAGGTGATATGGATGCCGCCACTTCGAGTGTTACGGTATTTTCCCCGTGAATTACTTTACTTCGAAACTAGTACGGGCCGTAGCTAGTGTAAAAGAGGGAGAAAGAAATTGACACGTTTTTTCTTAGCGTGGCGGAATGCAACTACTGTATTCTTATACTGTTTTACAAATGTTGGTAGCTGTGTCACACTATGTATGAGTTAGAAGCGCGTAACATGTGTCGACATTGGATTGAGGATCACATTTATTAAGAGCCCTAATTTTGAATCAAACAGTCGCACGTTCCACACCTTTTGACAGACATTTCCAACGTAGTCTTTAAGTATAATCCTGAATTCGCGTCTTTTGTATACAGATATATTCTATCCAGTAGTTTTAGCTCATTCGTTTTTATTACAGACATTTCCAAATTAAAGACATGAAATTTTTCGCGTTAATCGTTGTCAAGATATCAGCATCCAAAGTTGTTGGTTTATTGGTAGTGATGGTGGCCGACGGACATGGGAGAGTAAAGGAACGCAATATCCACGATCCTTGTTTGTTGCATGATGGGTTTCCGTTTGAAAATGTGAATGACATCATTTATCGATCGAAACGTGGACTCACAGTTGAGAACGCAGTCATCGCACCTGCTACCTTCCTTTACTCTCTCATGCATGACAGCATTCCCTTGCCCCTCTGTCCACAAGTTGGAAGTTAGACTGTTCGTGGATCACTAATGTTACTGACGAACCGGCAACTTTGGATCCTGATATTTTGATTACGGCTTACAAGAAAAATTTCATGTCTATGGTTCGGAAACGTTTGAATGTCGGCTTCAAAAATATGGAATACAAAATATGGGGTTCTATTTAAGAATTGTGGCGCGACCTTTGAAGGACGCTTCAAGGTCACGCCATTGTCAAATACCTCCTATCGTGACATGCAGTATATCGTAGCCTATAACTTTTGTTTCACGCATTTGTTCGTATCACTGATACTTTTCGAAATGATTCAGCGTTCTTGATTCTACATCTTGTATATAATTTATATTTGAACTGTAATAACAACAACTTCACAGAATATTTTCAACGTTTAGAGGAGGCTGTAATGAACGACGTGGGCAGTGAGGCTCATAATGTATCCAAATTCGATATCTGCTAATGCGATACCAGCTTTCTCAGTTGCCGAACGCAGGTTCTTCAGGTGATTGCTCTCGGCAATTCTTTTGTATGCTGGCATATACTTCCTTGAGAATATTTCATTTGAAACCTCCATTAATAACCGGGAGTTATCCCATTTCTCTGCGGCCAGCGTCTGTAACTTCTCTTCTGGCAATACCTCGAGTAGATCATCCTGAAGGCCACTAATACCACCGCTGATTTCGCGATAGGTGGAGGAAGGTGTGAAGGCGTTCATCTTCAGCGATCTATTCAGTTTGTTTATGCAAAGATGGATGTCGAGACCAGCTCTCTGTATATAGCTTGCCAGCTGCCACATCTCGGGCATATCTTCAATTTCCTTGATGAATGCCACTGAATCAGCTGATAATGCGATCCTCATCATAGCCTGGACTTCTTCGTCTTGGGAAAGGTATGTTTTAACGATTTCAACAACGTCTGACATAGGGACCAAATCCAGGAAATCTTGCAGCTCTTTGGCGAGCTCACCTGAGCCTGAAGCTGGAATCTTGTAGGGGTTCACGGAGCTGGCAACTGCCAGGACTGTTAAAGTTACCAATGCGAATTTCATCTGCGAAAGAAACAACAAACATTTGTTGAACAATATGTAGAATTTATAGTTACGGTAAAAGTTATTCTTACAAAGAAACCTTTCCATCTAGCACACGCCGATTGTAATGAAACTCATGTGAGAAATAATTCTCAAGAAAGTATTTGACACGTATTTTTTCTTATCGGTCAACATCCACTTTGACGAGTGAAACCATCCCTTAAAGTTGAGGGTTGAAAGTATATTTTTTACAATATCTCTGAAACTAGGCAGTACAGAAAAAAATTTCCTTTTTAAAATGTTCGCCTCAACATGAACAATTTTTAGATTTATTTTCTGCGCTCCTAGTTTCAGGAATATTGTAAAAAATATATTTTCTACCGTCAATTCTAATAGTTGTTTTACTCGTTCACAATGAATGTTGGCTGGTAAGAAAAAATACGTGTCAAATATTTTCTTGAGAACTATGTTTCGTATAAGTTTCAACAAAATCGGCGTGTGCTGGATGGAAACGTTCTTTTATAAGTTGGATTGGAAACCGAGTGGATGACTGCGTGTATGGACCAGGGTATGTCGCCAAAGTTATGCATGGGACTTGGGGGTGATCGAGGAAGTGAGCGAGAGAGTGAGAGGAAGGGATAGAACGAGTCAGGTAAACTGCAGGTCTGACGAGTGGCAGGCTACTGCTGGCGATCAAGTCCAAGCGGCAAGACGACTCTTCCACTTGTGACGCATTGAAAATTTTCCGGACAAGTTCCACGTTCAGCCTATGACGCAACCATAGACCATAGATAAAGGTTACTCCCCAAAAGTAGTATATAAGGAACCCGAATTTGTAACATAGGCAGTCATATACCAAATCTGTGCATGAATAAATCGAAGTTCAACGAAACTAATTTCTACATCTTTTTTTCTGCGAAATAAGTGTGAAATAGTAAACCAAGAAGTTTTAAACTCTAGTTCGCTTATACGTGACACACTCACGATGTTCGGGTCGGCTTGGTCTTTGATAGCGTCATCGATATTAGCCGCGTCGCAGTACCAAAGGGCAAAAGCGAGACGGCAAGCAATGGAGTTAGATGTAACGATAAAAAGAAAAATTCTAGTGCCGTCAGCTTCGTTTTCTATCGTTACATCTCACTTCGTCGCATTCAGTGCCGCTTTTGTTCTTTGTTACTGTGACGCAGCCAATACCGACCAAAGATGACCCGTTGAAGATTGAGGCGGCCTGAACATCGTGGTTGGAAGAGTCTTGACGTTCAGACTTGACCGCTCGCGGGTAGCCTGCCATTTCATTAGAGCCGTGCTTTATTATATAAGGGTGACAACCTCTGGGCTTGAACGTTCTTGAGGCAAACTGGCTCCAAATTTTCAAAAACTTCCAAAAATGGTGGAATCAATGAATGCACAAAGTTACCAAGGGCACAGTGGAAAAAACACAACACCACACCACACCATAGACAGCAAGGACACTAAACCACACTTCAAAGTGAGAGGCAAAACCTCCAAATACACACAAGGAAAAATCTCAAATCACCGCGAACTCTCAAATCTAATCAAAGAAAGAAATAGAGCAAAAAGAAATCGTCAAAAAATAGCAAATTCCTATTGCAAATTATTAAAAAACATTCTCACCCATAAAATCAGAAATAGAATCCATTTCCTAAAAAATAGGGGATGAGAGGAAAAACTAAAATTCCTAAAATACAAAGACAACTCCTGCAAAACACACAAAATGTTTAAACCTTCTAAATAAAAAATCTTTAACCTACAAGATTCACAGAGCAGAATCCATATATCTGATGAGAAAAGAGCAAACGTACTAGCCAACTACTTTGCCAATATCCACAACAGTACCTCTACCTCACCATCACTGCACGAAACACAAACAATCCAGCATACAACTCACCTAAACAATGCAACCCCAGAAACCCTAACAATTATCATATCTCTCGACCAAATAAAAAACTCTTTAAGGAAATTGGCCACTGGCCCAGATAAACTATCAGCCATCAAACTCAAAAATCTACCAAATAAACTCATCTGCCAAATCTGCTACATATTTAGAGCCTCTTTAAAACTATCTTACTTTCCCGACTTTTGGAAAATCGCCAAAATATTTCCAATCAACAAAACCCTGAAAAAACGGAAAATCACCAGTTACAGATCCATCGGTTTTTTTAGTTTTCTAGGCAAAAGCCTAGAAAACCTTATCCTCCAGGAAATAACTAAATATCTAAAAGCAAATAACACAATCATAAACGAACAATTCGGATTTAGACTCGAACACTCCTTCATAAATCAGGTTATGAGAATAACAGATCTCATTGCAGCAGAATACAACAAAAATAGAACTTCTGTTATGGTCCTCTTGCATCTGGAAAAAGCTTTTGACACAGTATGGCACGACACTCTACTCCTGAAACTAAAAAATATACACCCTTCACAACTTGCAAAGAATTCTCAAAAGTTACCTAGACAATAGACACATCATAGTGTCAATAAAAGGCACCTTATCTTCCACATTATTAACCATTTGCACAACAATAACAATAGTATTTGCAACTTACATGAAGAAACATCTTGCACAAATTATGAGGCAGAATTATTCCATTTCTGTTAACTTAACAAATAACAAATACTTCAGCACACATCACCACCACAAAGGTGGTGATAAACCCAGGAACCGGAAACCTCATAAAAGGAAAACAAACAAGGAAAAAAAACGGGAGAATTTCTTGAAAGTCAATGAGAGAACGAGCATTATGTTTTAGCGAGTGTGATTTCAGAGTTCTATCAATAAAGCTTGTTATTTTTTATCCCCTTGTCCTACGACTTATTTCTCTACTATGATCGATACAACTACTTTGTTATTAATAATTTATCGAAAGAAAGATGAAAATTCTAGGCATATTCAATGCCTACGTTTACTGTAAAGTATAATAATTGATAAGAGAAGAATAATATTTCATTTGAATTTACAAGAATTGAGTAATATTTATGTTTATTAGGAGTTTGACACGTTATTATAGGACAAAGGATTAATCCATGTGTTTTATTGTGAATTTCCACCCCTTTACCCCAGCACTATGTGGGATTTCTGCAAATAATTCCTACATAATAAATATTTTGTGAACGATGCCTTTTTCATTACTGACAATGTGATTTATATTGAACTGGCATACAATTTAGAATAGAGACAATAAATGTTATACATTGTTAGTACTGGCTAATAAATTGGCAGTCGCAATCTGTTTGTGTGCGCTGTTTATAGATTTTTTAAAAGTATGGATCATGTTCTATTTACTATGAATCAAGCAGCTTCAATGTTATGCAGTTCAAAGCCATAAGACATACATAAACAATAACTCTGTGGTGATATGACTATTTAGAAGTACAGCTAACCCCCGCATAACACGGCATTTCTATAACACGATTTGAGAATTGTGAAAATCCCTCATATAATATGGTATCCTAGAACACGGTTTCACTCTAACACGATTTGAAAATTAGAGAAATTCCCGTACAACGCTTAACGTTTTTAAGAGCAATATTCGATCTTAAAGAAGTCCTCGTACACCACGGAACGAGATAAGAGCTTTTAAGTTTGCAAGATATCTCATTGGAATTTTTTTATTTGAGCGCATATGTCGTATCAGATTTGCCTACAGAGTTTTAAAATTTATTACAATTTGAAATCCTATTTTGTTCGTGAAGTATTGAGTATATTTTAAAATTTTGTGTTTTCTTTTTACTACATTATATATAGATTAAAATTTCACCTAACTCCCTTCTTGCACTAGTTCTTTATTCCATATAACACGGATTTGTATAACACGACGTTTTTTAGAAACGTAACAATCGTGTTATACAGGGATTACCTGTAATAGCTCAATAAGCGTCTTTCTTTACTCACTTTGGGTTTGCTGAAGTTTACGTCGCTGAATCTCGGAGGAACTGGATGCCATATTCATCAATGCTGTGATTTATATACTGCACAAAGTTTATCAATTCTAAGCGATATCGGCTGAACTTTTTCTTTGTATTACGTCACACCTGAAATGCTGTTTACCATGAATTACTAAGAAATATACTAAGCGCGACTCGCTACCACAATGCCATTTATATCGCTCTTATCGCTACTTGTTGCCAGAACTGTTGATGTTCTCGTCATCTTAATCATTAGTATCAAATAGTGCATGAATTTCACATTTTGAACAACTTTTTTTTTGAAAAACATTCTGCTAATATTTAGTTTTCGACATACTCCTGAAAAACTTTTGCTACCACTGTATTGAATTTTATATACAAAGTGGTCCACGCAACCTGTTCACCCTCAATAACTTTTAAAATATGCATGTAATGAAAAACTTTTTAAAGAAAAGTTATATGATTTGGAAGCATACATTACGTAATGCATACATTTTTTTTGGTGAGTAGAAGCGTTTTGAAGATTTAAAGATCACCTTCGTTTTTTTAAATGCAATGCTATATTTTGTATGTCAAAATATCGAAGAGCGTTAAATTCTGAATAAAAATGTAGTGACCTTTATTAGCTGCAAACTTAATAAATAACGAATAATTTCACTTTGTTTCTTGAAAATGTTCTATACGTAATATCAAGTTGGGAATTCATTATCAGTAAAGATTTCCGGAAGACCGCGAAGTTTCTGTGGAAATGTTTATTAATATGACCGGTTCTGCGTATATAATCGTAATCGTCTTCTTTGTTCCTGATTCAGTGTTAAAGTTGTCATTAATGTTTGTACGTTACTGTTTCAGTAAGATAACAGCAAATATTTTATTAATGAACGATTGACGAGACGAAACTATTCGAATTTTTTATGGGATATTTTACCAATTTTATTAGAAAATGTACGATCAAATATCTGCAGAGATATCTGGTACCATTATGATGTTTGCCCCGCATATTATAGACATGTAGTAAGGCAAGTACTGAACAGACAATTCCTCAATCGATGGATCTATGTGGTGAAGAATTTCTGTGGCCACCACATTCACCAGATCTGACACCGCTATATTACTTTCTATGGGATATATTAAATGATATGATGGATCGTGAATCAACAACAACATCAGAAAATATGAAAAAATGAATTCGTGAACCATGCACTAGGCTTGCTGCAGAAATAATACAGAGTACTGCTTCGTCGTTGATTAATGGATTACAGCAGTGTATTAATACGAATGAACACCATTTCCAACATCTGCGTTAGTGAATGGAAGAAGCCCTACAGAAATCTTTGCTGGTATTGCATTTCTAACTTTATGTTACGCTTAGACCATTTTCAAGAAATAAAGTGAAATTATTCGTTCATTATTAGGTTTACAGCTAATAAAGGTCACTACCTTTTTACTCAAAATTTAACGCTTTTCGAAATTTTGGCATACAAAATATAGCATTGCATTTAAAAAAACGAAGTTGATCTTTATACCTCCGAAACTCCTTCACTTACAAAAGAAATACATGCAGTACATAATGCATCCCTCTAAACCATATAACTTTTCCATAAAAGGCTTTTCAGACAATGCATACTTTGGAAGTTATTGAGGGTGAACAAGTTGCGTGGGTCACTTTGTATCTGAGCACGCCCGTCCATGAATCCAAAATTCAATTTTCGAAGTATGTAGCAGTGTCATGTATTGACTGCTTACAGAGATGTAGACCGTCAAATTTGACGAAATTTCAAGCCCCTTAATATCTCCAAAATTCAAGCTTCTTTAATGTACCAGGTAAAATTTCTCTTAACAAATTTGTTTGATTCGCCATTTTGAATTTTGCATTTTTGACAGAATAGTCAGATTTAGGAACTCTAAAAATCTAAGTATACCAACTTTTATAAAAGTCGCATGAAATTATGAATTTTGGCCAGTTTTTCGTCAAAAAGCACCACTAAAAGACGTTCACTCACGACGCTCGGTCTGTTAGTGATGGCATCAGTGACGCCTCAGTTTCGTCACGACCTTGTTCTTGGCGCGTCACGCACAAATAACGTAAGCGAAACAGAGTGCGATGAAGTGGAAATGTAACGAACATTGGCGCCGGATTTCGTTTCGGCGCGACGCACAATGTGGCTACTTGTGGACAAAATCCAAAAATTCGCGTATTCACATAACGAAAATTGAAGGTTACCAATCTGTTGCTAAGTACTGCCTGCTATACAAACTGATTTTTATTTCAAAAATTATTTTAAAAAATATTTACACTTTCATCTTGTATTCATTGTTAAATATATTTATACAGATTTTTAATAAGGGAAGATATTCTCCGAAGCATGTAGCTCTGATTTCACATAATTTTGTGCAAATAAATTCCGTTCTTCTATTTATATAACATTGGAACTGAGACGCAAAGTATCCATTGTCGTTTAAAAACTTCATAATATCCTTATAACGTAAAAAAATATAACCACCATATGTTTAGCTCTATGTCTTGCAGCTTTTGTCTGAAGCATTTTTTCTACTCATACTTTTTAAGTTATTGAGTTCTGTACAGAAAGCAGGCTTCGGAACGTTGTAGAAGCCGATGTTTACATCGACTTTTTCCTTTGACAAGATAATAGAGATTGGTATTGCTATTGGTTGGGGTAGTTTTTTCTTATCACTTGTACTTTATTATTGCCAAACAACCGCTGTATTCAGACTAGAAGAATTGTTGACAATTACAGTTCCCACCATCCAAAGAAACTTAAAAAAATTTACTTAAAAAACCCCAAAAAATTATGATGAAAACATCGATTTTTACAATATCCGTCATTTTTGTGAAAATTTGTGTTATTAGTGTAGTTTCTGTTCCAGACAATTCACCCATTATATCTACGAGCCTGATTTGCCGCAACGCGTTCATAGAAACGGCAGATAAATAACCGCCTCATGCTGACGCACATCTGCCTCGGATTTTTTAAAATTATTTTTGAAACTAAAATCGAGTCAGAATTATATTTAGTTATAATTTATATAGGAAAAAGTTGCTTAGAATTACGTTCCCGATAACATAGCCAAAAATCATAGAAATAGGTTAAATTTAAAATGCTAATGAACGGTATGTACAGTCCGTACCTTGACAAAGCTTCGGTTTAGAGCGGTCAGTTCAATCATTTTTTTAAATTTGGTGCGATGTAAGGTGTTATTGAGGAGACAGTAAAACACAATTCACACCGACGTTTTGCGTTCGCGGAAAGGTCAAAATCTGATATTTATTCGTATTTTTATACAGTGCGCTTGGACGATGTACTTTTTGGAGTTACGCGTCGGCGGTACGATGCTCCAGTTAATAATGGAATTTCTAGATGCCGTTTTTCTACTGTTCCAATCGAAAGTCGGATGTCGCTCGTCTTGTGTTGTATACCGCGCGCCGAAAATGCTTCAAAAATACTTAAATGTCGTCCGCCGCGTTCCTCTGTTTTACCGGGGTTATATACCCGGTTCAAAACAGAGAACCGGGGACGGACAAATCAATTAAAAACGTGGTGACGAAGTCGCTACATCACCTCCTTGCCAGCGATAACGCTATATACAATAAGTGTAAAATATATATACAGTATTTACATGTATTCTTACAAACTATTATGCCTTATACCTATCGGTAAACCTAATGACTCGTCCATAACGAGTTTTAATCGGCGCAGACTGTTTTAAAATACCTTTCGTTTTTTTATTCGTATTTGGTTGATTGGCTGCGCTTAATGGTAGACTCGGAAGTGTAGTTTCGGTTTCTGATTTGGAATGTTTTATATCTATATGCGCCGGTTTGAGTCAATCGATTGATACGGTTCTTTCCTGTGATCCTATTATAATAGTAAAATGTTTATCACTTCGTCTAATAACTTTGTACGGTCCGTCATACAACGGTTGTAATGATCGTTTTGTTGCATCCTGTCTTAAAAATACATGTGAAGCTGTTTTCAGGTCTTTATGAATGAATGTATTAGATGAACCGTGTCGTGATGCTGGTCGTGGTCGGATATTCTGCATGTTTCGTTTCAATTGGGTAACAAAGTCGGAACTTACGGTTTGCTCTCTATCAGACGTAAAAAATTCTCTTTGTAATTTCAAACTAGAACCATATACCATTTCTGCTGGAGTTGCTTGAATATCGTCTTTATATGTGGAACGTATGCCTGGCAAAACCAATGGAAGTATTTCAACCCAATTTTCTGTTTCGTGACATCGGATGGCTGATTTTAACTGTCTGTGTAATCTTTCCACCATACCATTAGCTGCAGGATGGAAAGCTGTAGTGTGGACATGATGTGAACCAAGGCATCGAGTTAACTCTTTAAAAAGTTGTGACTCGAATTGCCTTCCTTGGTCACTAGTAATAAAATTTGGAACTCCAAAATGTGATAGCCAGCCATTCAAAAGAGTATTTGCTACTATTTCGGCTAATACATCTTCCATAGGTATAGCTTCTGGCCAGCGAGTAAATCGATCTACGCAAGTGAAACAATATTTAAAACTTTGTGAACTCGGTAATGGACCAACAATATCGATATGTATGTGATTAAAACGTGCGCTGGGTACTGAGAAATTACCTACGGGTGACTTTGTGTGTCGTGTAATTTTATTTTTCTGGCATTGAATACATTCTTTGGACCACTTATTACAGTCTTTGTTTACTGAAGGCCAGATGAAACGGTCGGTTATTAATTTTCGAGTGGATTTAATACTAGGGTGCGATAATCCATGTAAACTGTTAAAAATTCTCTTTCGCAGATCCTTCGGTACGTATGGGCGGATACTAGAGGTGGAGATATCGCAAAAGACTTCTACATCACCTTCACTGGTTGGAAAACGTATTTTCTTTAATTCAAGGGCTGTCTCAGACAGTAAGAAGCTTCGAAGTTCTTCATCTGCCTGTTAAGACAGAGCCATTTCTGTATGGTTGACCACTTTGCTTATTTGTTCAACTCGTGATAGTTGGCATAAAACATGCCAACGGTTGCCAGGTGCCATCTACCCATTGCTGAAGCGCCGTTCCCATCGCATAATCTGATGCATCGACACTGATGCAGAGTTTCGCACCAGGTAGTGGATGCGTTAGGAGGGTAGCTTCTGCCAGGGCTTCTTTTACCTGCTTGAAAGCTATTGTTGCGTCGGTTGACCATATAATTTCGGGATTACCACGAGGAGGTGCACCTTTGAGTAAATCTGTTAAAGGAACCAGTAATCTAGCTGCATTTGGAATAAAACGACGGTAAAAATTGATCATTCCCAAAAATCTTCTGAATTCCTTTACGTTTTTAGGCTGTGGAAACTTTACAATTGAATTTACTTTTTCAGAGTTGGGATTTGTTCCTTTTGCGTTAACAGTATAGCCCAAAAATTCTATGGTATCTTGACCAAATATGCATTTTGCAGGATTAATGACAATACCGTAATCTTGAAGTCGTGCGAACAGTTGACGGATATGAGAAAAATGTTCTTCTTCGCTAGAAGAAGCTATAAAAATATCGTCTAAATACGCGTAACAGAAATCCAAACCATGTAAAACCTCGTTTATAAACTTTTGGAATGTTTGAGCGGCGTTCATTAAACCAAACGGCATTTTCGCATACTCAAACAGACCAAAGGGTGTGGTAATTGCTGTCTTTTCTATATCTGACGGTTCGATCGGGATTTGGTGATAAGCCTTGACAAGGTCTACCTTTGAAAAAATGCGTTTTCCAAACAGTGAGTGGGAAAAATCTTTTGTGTGGGGTAATGGATATCGATCGGGAACTGTACGTGCGTTTAAAGCTCTATAATCACCACACGGTCTCCAGCCTTGATCCTTTTTAGGGACTAGGTGGAGAGGTGAGGCCCACGGGCTCTTCGACGGTCGGATTATGCCTTCTAACAACAAATACTCGAATTCCTGTTTAACTATCTTTATCTTATCGGGAGTTAATCTGCGCGGTTTTGCGAAAACTGTGGGACCCGGTGTTACTTTAATGTGATGGGTGATTCTATGTTTCGCAACTACACCTGCGCGTGTTGGAATAGTAATATTTTTATATTCGGCAAGGATCTTATGGTACGGAGAGTCGTCGGCAATTGTTTTGATACAATTTAAATCCGCGACACCCAATTGTCCTTGGATCGACAAATTTGTCGTATTGTCGACAATCGCTTATTTCTAATGTCTACCAGCAAGCCGTAATATTTTAATAAATCTGCGCCGATTATGGGTTTTGAAATATCCGCGATGATAAAAGTCCATTTTATAACGCGCCGCAATCCAAAATTTAGGTTTAAAACAATATCGCCATACGTCGAGATGGTCGAATCGTTCGCGGCATATAAAACAAATGTCGACTTTGGGGGTTGCCCTCTTACTAAATTACGCGGGTATACACTTATGTCGGCACCGGTATCAATAAGGAACTGTACCTTATTCTGCTTGTCGGTTAAAAATAAGCGGCTAGTAGAGGGATCGACAGGCTCTGCCGCATCTAGCGTCGATCGGCTTCGTTTCCCTGTTGCTGGACGTATGTGCAGGACGTTGTACATCTCGTCGACTTGTCTCCGAACCTCCGGTGGTACCAGCACACTCCTGGTTGGGATAGGCTTGGGCTGCGGCTACGGCTGCGATTGCGACTCCATCGTCTCCATCTTCCACGTCCTGGACCACGGAAGTTGCTTCTACTTTGCCGTTGGTTCATTTTTAATTCGGCAATTTCTTGTGTGAGTCGAATTACTTGCTCGCACAACGCTGCTATTTCCGTATTCGGAGTGACTGCTGCGCAATGTCCGGTCGGTGTCATTTCATTTATTTTGTCCACTAGAGTTGCCATCTTGTTCACCGGTTCGTCCATTCGGGTGGCTAAGACTGTCCCCATGGATGCTGGGAGTCGATTCATCTACATTGTCCTCAGGAAATTTTCCGACAATGTATTGTCTCCGGCTAATGTTTTTAAATGTCGCAAAAATTGCGACGGTGTCCTGTCACCAATTTCCTTCTGTTCGAGTAACTGCTTAATACGTTGTTCCTCGGATTTGGATAATCGGCGGATGAGTTCGTCTTTGAAGCGGTCGTATTTTCCGGTTGCTGGGAGATTGTTCACCACGTCCTCGACTTCTTGTAGATACTTCAGTTCTAATTGGGACATGGCGTAATAAAACTTGGTCATGTCTGCCGTAATTCCATTCAACGTGAACTGAATTTCGAGTTGACGAAACCATAACGATGGATTGCTGCTCCAGAAGGGTGGTACTTTTATTGACACCTTGTTTACTTCGCTTGATGCGAGTGTAGCACTGGTTGATGCTTGTTCACCCCCGTTGTTAGCCATCGCAATCACAACACTAAACTTTCAACTTTTTAAAACTTATCGAAAATTACGTCGGCGGTTACCACTTTGGTGTGATATAAGGTGTTATTGAGGAGACAGTAAAACACAATTCACACCGACGTTTTGCGTTCGCGGAAAGGTCAAAATCTGATATTTATTCGTATCTTTATACAGCGCGCTTGGACGATGTACTTTTTGGAGTCACGCGTCGGCGGTACGATGCTCCAGTTAATAATGGAATTTCTAGATGCCGTTTTTCTACTGTTCCAATCGAAAGTCGGATGTCGCTCGTCTACTGTTGTATGCCGCGCGCCGAAAATGCTCCAACAATGCTTAAATGCCGTCCGCCGCGTTCCTCTGTTTTACCGGGGTTATATACCCGGTTCAAAACAGAGAACCGCGGACGGACAAATCAATTAAAAACGTGGTGACGAAGTCGCTACATTGAGAATTTGTCGAATGCGTGTGTGTTGTATGTTCTTAAACGTTGTCAATGTTTGTATACACCGAATGGATTGATATAATCAAGACCGTGATTTTAAAAGTACTGACTTTTCAGGAATTCGACCGATTTATGAACTGTTTTCAAACTGTGCTCTTGTTATTGCATGCACTAAACGTTTTCTAATAAATCGTTGTGCAATTTTAATTGTTCAAAGGCTATAATAATTTTTCGTTTTAATTGTTCAACGCTTGTTATATTATAATATTCGAAATATAAATATAAAAATATAATGCTGGAAGTGTTTGATCAATTGATTATACTCTCCAATATTAATGGTAATTATACATAATCGCCGTTAATTATGTACAATCTACACTTTATTGTATTGCCCGCGACACAAACATAAATAAGGCCAGTACTACTATGTTACCAAAAAATATGACTACAAAAAATTAAGATTTTTGGGGGGTTCTGCTGAATACTGCCTACGCACATTTGAAGATTAATATTAACTCTTTTTAACACCGTGTATAATAAATGAAATATTCCTTGTGTACGTAAATTACTTTTTCATTGTATGTTTTACCTTTAACCCTTTGTTTTACAGTACCCTCTTCATTCGCGTTAAAGATTTCAAATAGAATTTAACAAATACAAATGTCACATAATTCTCCCACGTCCGAATTGATTATTATTTTTCTATTATTATAATAAGCATTTATCTGGTCCTTTTGTGTGTAATACTATACTTTTTACTTATGCAGTACTTTGAAGCTTCTTATTAGTAAAAACTCTCTATATAACAAGGGTAGGTATCGGACTCAGAATTCCAAAAAATTATGAAACTTTGTGTAATTAAAGTAAATCAAGCTCAATTTCCAAATCAACCACCTTCAAAATTAAAATTTTGAAAAATTTGAACATTTAAAAAATTTTATTCTACAATTTTATAGAGGTAAAAGAACAATGTATTTTTTCTGTCGCGATGTAAGGTGTTATTGAATACTCGCGACAAATATGTTTGCAAGTTATTTATTTATGTAAACGAGTGTTCGGAGGCAGAACGGGTAATCTGCTTCCTCGCGCCTTTCCGCTTTATTTATCTTCGTCTTCGGAAAGGCGTTACCCCTTGGAAACTTTGAGGGTGGAGCTAATTTCCTTCTCCAACGTCGCCTCGATTTTTTGGCAGGGGAAAAATTGTGAATTTCTAATTCGGAATCTTTTTCCCGAGCCGCGGTGACCGTGCGGCCGAAGAAGCCTTAACGGGACATGGCTGGTAGCGTTTATGGTAGGGTAGTCTATTCAGCTACGCACGTGTAAAAAGTGTAAAATATTTTCGCCGACTTACAGACTTTAGGGTAGGCTTAATTGCCTATACCTAAACGTCTATAAGTCGTCAATGCTATTTCCTACCAACGCTGCGAGCCACGTACCGCTACATTTTGTTTAAACCTCCTTTTCCTATCTCTTACCATTTGTAAGATAATCCACGAGAATTAAAAATTTGCATCTTCTTCAAGGGCTGGTTTCACCCCTTCAAAATGAAATTCGACATGAAAGAAATTGCAATTTATTAGGCGTGACTTACTTCACTTATACACGAAGTTTCATCATTTTTCGAAATTCAGGTTCGATACGGTTCGGAATAGTTGTAGGAATTGGGGTCGAAAATAAAGTTTCAATCGATTTCAACCGATGCAAATACGCAATATGAGCTATTCAAATTGTGTGATTTATTCGTTTACCAATATTATGAAACCGAAAGACTTACATAATCAAGTAAAAATATAACTTTTTTAAACATTTCTTTTATATTCATTTTTTTTCTAGCAACAAAATTATTATATCCTATTTGTTTTTGTTACCTGTTACAATTTGGTTTAATAAATGTTTTGATTTGAAAGAAAAGATTGTATTAGGTACTATCAATTTTATGCTGCATTACAATCATAGTTATTCTCAGACATGTGAGGAATGTTTTGGTATTTTTGTTTGTGATCGAATGAAATATTTCCTCTTCATTTTCATAAACATGAGGGGTAATATCTCAGTACATCCCCATAGTAACCGATTTTAATAAAACCTTGAGATATTGCAAGAATTGCACATTCTGAACAACTTTTTTGCTTTGCAAAAAATGTCGCTGGCATTCAGTTTCCGAAATAATCGCGAAAAACTTTTGCTACCACTACATTGAATTCTTTATAAGTGAGCGCGTCTGTGAGACAAAGCAAGCATAACAGTGCGGTCGTCGCAGCCGCTGCGACTTACATCCATTAGCATACATTTTCTGGGGTTACATATATGTTTCCCGGCAAGAGTTAAAACAGTTCCAGTCAATGGAGACAAGTTTATACTTTTCGTCGTACATATAAGAATGAATTTCATTTCGATAATAGATATCAGTATAAGTAGGATTAGTTTTTTTTGGAATGGGGAGAGGGTATATACTACTGCTCTTTCATCTATTCTTTTATTTTATAGTTGTGAAAATTCTTTTAGTATGAATTCGACGATTTTTTATAAAAAGCGAAAGAGTACGACAGTTTTTAATAAAAGTTAAAGAAGTTCTCTATTTTCTATTGTACACATTTTCGGAATCTATTCAAAGAGAATGAACAGAATACGAGGTAACGCAGTCTAACCCTAAAATTATTCATTTCTATTACACCCTACACTGGCCGGGTGTTGCTCATTGTTCATGATCGTGAGTTTTTACTTATTATCTTCCTTTATTATCCAATATGAAAATTCTTTTTCGGAAGCAACCAATAGAAAATTTCCAAAAAAGAAAGTAACCAATAGAAACTAAATGTCACCGACATTTTTTTCAAAGGAAAAGGTTGTTAAAAATTTGTACTTCTTACAATAAGTAATGGTTTCATTAAAATCAGTTATTGCAGGGATGTACTAAGATATTACCAAATAAGGAAGATTCTTTGGACTTTTATTATATTTAACTTAATTTAATTTTTCGAAAGAATGATATTATTGTACTCTTAATTACAATGAAGCACCGATTTCTTGCTGCGTCAAAACAATATTTTCATTAAATCATTTACGTATTAAAGGAACATCTTATTTTAAACTTGTAAGCAATGTATTAGGCGAAACTGGCAATAGCAGATAGCTGAAAGAAACGAGGATTTAACCCTTTGCGGTCGAATGCCATCATTATGGCAATTTCAATCTTTGATATCTAAAATGGAAAGCTGCAAATGTATAAATTGATTTATTCGAATAATGAGAAATTAATGTGTGCTTGTTCTTCCCTACGGCAAAATACTTACAAGAAAAGGTATTGAATCTGGAAATTCAAAAATTTATGAAGTTTTGTGTATAAGTAAAGTAAGTCAAGCTTAATACATTGCAACTTTTTTCGTGCCGAATTTCATTTTGAAGGAGTAACCCACCCGTGGTTTTATTTCCCGTGTATTACTTTGAAAACGGTAAAAGATACCGAAGCAAAGTTTAAACAATAAATACATTATTCTTTTACATTTAAACAATGAATACATGATTCTTTTACATGTATAAAATTGCAAAATAAAATTTTAGAATAAGTTCCAATTTTTCAAAATACAATTATATTCGTGTGAAAGAACAATGTATTTTTTACTGTTTTTAAGGTAAACCATATAAAAGAAAAATTAGCGTTTTCTTCAAGGGGTTTCACCCTTTCACAATTAAATTCCGCGCGAAAAAAATTGCAATTTAATAGGCTTAACTTACTCTACTTATACACAACATTTCATAATTTCTTGAATTTCCGAGTTCGATACCTTTCCCGGTTAGATGTACAATTTAATTTCTTATGAGAAGAATTTATAAAGTTTTTTTAAAATCTCGTCCGCAAAGTATTCATTATTCAGGGTGCAAAGAGGTACGTCTCTTCTTACATGCATTTTCGATAGAAATATGCTATTTATAATACAACCATACGGTAATTAATCAATGCCCCAAATAAAACGTACATCGAATCACCCCTCATAGCCCTATGCCGACCCAAGTGGTAACTCTCTATCAGCACATAGTATTTACTTAGATCATGCAATTTTATATGTACATGTAATTTGGTTTCTTTTGAGATTCAATGTAGAGTACATCATTATTTTTTACTTTAATATGATAAAAATAATGTTGATAGGAAAGTCTGAGACACATTGAAAACACTAATGATTTTGTCTTACAAAAAATATGTAATATGTCTACTTTCGCAAAATTTTACAAAACGTGCAGGATCACAATATATTCCATTATGCAGGATATAGTAGTGGTAATCTATGTGACTATACAAATAAATGAAACGGATGACTGCATAATTTACATTACTTATACAATACATATAGCTTCTTTTTTATTGCAATGACCAACAAATTTATGTTTCTTCTAATTAACTACGGTTTCGTTAAAAGAAGTTGAATACTGTCTTTAAAACAACTTACTGAACGACATGGGTTTAATATTCACGATGATGGCGTCTCTATCATATTCAACAATCTATATTATAAATTACATTGTATAGAATAACATTAAGGGATTCCATACTTCTGAACCCTTGAAAAATACCAGAAGTTTAATAACTTCCTTTTTATATGCAAATTAACATTTTGTTACAAAATCAATATATAGGTTTTATTGTACGGGACTTATATAATATTTGCTAAAAATTAAAATTCAATTTCTCTAGATACAAGAACATGGCAGCTGCTTTTCCAAATTCATTTTTGCGAAGTACCGTTTGCGATACCAGATATATTTGCAAGGGGGTTTATTTAAAATCATTTACTTTAATTTTAGATTAAACTACATAAAAGAATCTAGTCATCATTGAAGGTGATTTTGACAAAATCATTTTTGTATAAAACCAGTTTTTTAAAAAATCGGTCGAGTAGTCTCTGAGATATTTTTGGTACCATTTTTCAAACTCCGTTTTGAGAACGTGTTATGATATCGGTTTCGGTTCTTAAAATAGTTATAAATAACTGAAATAGAGTCGCAACTGTTATTATGTAGGTATATCGGTTCTGACTCTTGATAACCGATATTATATCAGTCCTAAATCGATTTTACATATAACTGTTATTTTTCGGTTCCGCATTTCAGCTTTAGTTCGGTTCTACGTAATACATATATGATACACTGTATATTTTACAATCCAAAAATAATGATGTATCATTTTAGGGTATACAAAGAGTCTCGTAACTGACCGTACAAGCGAGCAGGGAGAGATTCTACGTGAAGAACTAAATTGAAAATGTAGAATGAAATTTTTCCATATGAAGCTTTGTTTTCGACGTATTTCACTGTGGATCACCTCCATTCTTGTTCTTAAACATTGTCAACGTTAGTATACACCAAATGGATCGATAATCGAGACTGCAATTTTAAAACTACTCATTTTTCAAGAATTCGTCTAATTTATGAACTGTTGGAACTGATGTCTACGCTGTTGCAAACACAACTGTGCCCTTCTTATTCAATTGTACCGAACGTTTCATTATCATTATGTATCATTATACAATTTTAATTGTTCAAACGCTATAATAGCTTTTTATTTTAATTGTTCAATGTTTGTTATGTTATCAGTACACACAATCGGCTTGACATGACCCACAAATAAAAATCTGAAGATAATAGGTCCAGAGACCGTGGCGGCCAAGGTGTTTGGCCATCGCGGCCAATCAAGTAGTGATAATTTTCATTTAAATAGGGTCTTACTTCTCGACTATATTCACTGTATTTCGAAAATTAAAAGCTCTGTTCCATAAAGATAAAAAGAAAGTAGAACAGGTACAAGAGATACCATTATGTTGATAATGTTTGTAAATATTACAGAAGCACAGAAATACTCTCCTACTCAGGAAAGTAAGATTGTGAAATCCGTAGAACTAAACCTGAATCAAGCGCATTTTTTTGGAAACAATGCTTCACGTGAAAAAATTTTATTCTTTATTTTCGATTCAGTTTTTCACGTATAATAATCCCCCGTTCGCTTGCACCACTAGTTACGCAACACCCTGTGTATCACGTAGAAGACTTCTTAAATCAAAATTTAAACACAGGGTACGTTTTTGTAAGATAATTTTATTTTATTTGATAACAAACCATAAACTTAACTTGCTACTAATATCAACTTCATTCATTAAACTAGTGAAATGCTAATTGAAATCGAAGTTCAAGTCATTGTTAGTAAGAAAACTACACGAACGTTCTCCGGTATTTAATATAACTGAAATGTAAAATCAAAATATAGAACTGAAATGAAGAATCGAAAAATAACAATTATAGAACTCATATATGTAATATTAGTTCTAAAGACTCGAAACCGAAACCGATGTAGCTCAGAATTGATATACCACATAACAGTTATTAATTTATCACGGTTTTCCATAACTGTCTCAGTCGAAACCAATATATACCCAACAGTTTCAAACAATTATTTTCGGAACCTTTTCAATCCCAATCTGGTTCAAAGTTTCGCTCATATGTTACCACTGATACGATCTCTCGAAAATACTGGAGATTTAATTTAGGTAGTTTTACAAATTTCTGAATAAAACTGGGAAAATATTCTAGAAGGGTTGCACTACCAGAATATACAGTTTTTGAAAAATCAATTTATTTCATCTAATCAAAAGTGTGTAACCCCTTAAATCATTTGTACTGTAGGGAGATCACTTGATGGCTAGGTTGAGGAATATGGGTCTGATTGGTCAGTTCTTATCTTTCTTATAATACTAATTTATTATTCGTCAATACGATTGCGCGTAGCCAATAAAAACTATAAACAGAACACAGAGTGAAAGACCCTTCTTGCCCCTGTACCGTACCGCCAAACATCAAGTCATTTTCCTACAGTATTTGGAGTAAACACGATAATTAACATTCGTATAAATACCTACTAATAAATGCCATTCTGTTCTGAATCGGTATCATACTTCGCAGTGAAACACATTGGAAGGAAGGAATAGCTTATTAGGTTTCGAGCAAGCATAGCATTCTATCTTACGATAAACTTCGCAACCAACCATGTACCAATTTTTTAATTAGAGCTAGCAGAACTAGCTTTCTCGTTTGCTTACGTTTCCTAGGATCGGTCACTGTCGTTGTTCCCTTTTCGAATATATAGGTTACAAAATCGTCGTAAGCGTTAACATAATTAACGTTAAAATGTCCTCGCAAATATAACACGTATCTCAATCCACCTGCATGTCTCTTATCGTTCGACAAAGGAAAGCTGATGTTATTATCCCGAACGTCTGAAACGTACATGTGTAATAAATTTGATTAAGGATCGAGATTGAGTGCGCTTTAAAGAAACGTACTTGAATACCAGCCATCGCCATGCCCAAAAATACTAAGGTGAAACTCTCGTACTGCAACCAACCAGTGACCTTATCGAGACAGCCCTATAAGCATTTAGAAACATGAAAAGGTGTAACAATTCGAAAAATATATTAATCGCATGTAATTGTTTCAATATACAGAAATATTCTACAAATTATATATAATAGTATATAAAAATATTGTGAAAGATTGCAATGAACATCATGCTATTATACGACGTTGTTAGTTTTATTTAACCTTTCTTACATTTTTTAACATTTCTGTTAGAATTGTCATATATTTTAATATCTGACAAGGAAAGGTATCGAACCCTGAAATTCAAAAACCCATGAAATTTTGTGGGTAAGTAGAGTAAGTCCAGCCTAATAAAAACATTCGAACTTTTTTCCCGTGGTTTATCTTGGGAACGGTAAGAGATAGCGAAACAAAGTTTCAACAAAAAATACATTGATCTTCCACGTCTATAAAACTGCAAAATAAAATTTTTTATACTGTTCAAATTTATAAATATTTTGAAAATAACTTAATTTTAGACAAATTTTGTTTTACAATTTTATAGATGTCAAAGGACAATGCGTTGTTTGTTTAAAATTTATTTCGCTATCTCTTACCGTTCTCAAGATAATCCATGGGAAAAAAATTTGTATTTGTTTCAAGGGATGGCTTTACCCCTTCAAAGTGAAATTCGGTATGGAAAAAATTGCAATGTATTAGGCTTGACTTACTCTACTTAGACACAAAATTTCATACGTTTTTGAATTTCTGGGTTTGATACCTTTCCTTGTAAGTGGTATCTAAAATAATGATAACATAATGTTTTAGTATAATCTTGTTTGAAAAATTTAAAAAACTGTACATATATAATAAAACAAAAGTCTTTGTGTGGAATTAATTAAACATTTCCGAATACTTGAGGATTTTTATATTTCTGATTAAAGTATTCAATCATTCTAATAGCGGCAAGAGATATAATTTCAACGCATGAAACATGCTATAATTAAACTTCATATAAAAGAATTAAATTTAAAACATACTCTAGTAGTTTATTAATGTTCAACTATATGCATTAATTAAGGATACACTGCCGGTCAAAAGTTTAGGATCACTTGATACGTAACGTCACAAATTAAAGATTATATATCTTACAAGTATATAAAATATAATAACAAACATTATATATCCTTATATTTGACTAATACACGTATGTCCATATTCCTTTATCATACACAAAAATTCCACAATAAAAGTTGTTTACAGAACATGAAAGTTTTCCTTTTAATCGATGTATTCGTTTCGAACGTTTGACTGACAGTGTACATTATGCAGAGATGAAAAAAAGTCGTACGGAAGGAATGCGGGTCTTAGTGGTCAAAGTAAAAGAAGGCATGCTATATATCGCGAAGTCCTTACGTATATAAAATAGTCCTCTTACCTTTTTTTTATAAAACAAAGTAAAGTTTCCTACTTTTTCGAAAATATTCTGATCAACTATACAATTAACTTACATACCTCTTTATGCCGATATCCATCGTGGCCTTCTTTATCATCCACTTGACATGCTACTTCATCTTTTGGTTTTGGATTTAGCCATGGTTTCTCGGTCTTCCATAAAGAGAACAAAAAATTTTAATGTGATCTATTTATATGAATTACAATCGAATTACTTACATTTTTATTAAATACTCTTGAAACGACGCTCATAGGACTGCCAGTATTTTTCACCTAATAAATAATAATTCTATTCTTAATATTGTTAATATTTGTTGATTTATATTAACACGTTGAAAAATGAAGTATATAATATTACATGTAGGTAAAAAGCCGTTCGAAACATTGGGTCATCGTTCAATAATATAAAATAATATTGGAGTAAGCTGACAGTAGAACCGATTTTTATAATATTGAAAACGTTATAGGAATCCACGTTTTTAACAACTTCTTCCTCTAACAAAAAAGCTATGCTCTTTTAGTTTCCAAGATAATCGCATAAAACTTTCGCGACCACTACACAATTGTGCTCATTAGCTACGAGCATAAGAGATGAACTATAGTAAACTATCAAACGTGCGGCTATACTTGTGACCGTTTAAAGATTTCTGTACACAAGAGACTTGTCTCAAGGCAACTGACTTGGTAATATACTGTTAAGCAATGCCGTGATGTGCACCAGAACAACACGGGAGTAAGAAGGTTCTTGCTCTGAGTGTTTTGTTTATACTTTTGATTGGTTATTTGATTGGCCATGTTGACGAATAGAAAATTATTATTCTGAATAAAATGAGATCTGACCAATCAAACTCGCATTTCTCAGTCTATTCACCACGTGATCTCCCAATAGATCATCCTACCAATATACAATACAATTCAATGTAGTGGTTACGAAAGTTTCTCGTAATTATCTTAAATGTGGCCAATGTTTTTGTCACAGGAAAAACATGGTTTAAAACATCGATTTCTACGACGTATGTCAATTTTATGAAAACCAGCTACTTTGCCCATGAATTATAGTATTATCAAATTTTTTATAGAAAAATATGTTAGGTAATTATTCGGAGTCATAGTCACCTGATCCATTTTGATGTCCTACAAATATTTTGTTGAAGACATGATTTTGAACAATTTTTCCCTATACCGGTTACCGCCACTCGGCTTTAAGGAGAAGTTGTTTAAAATCATGCCTCCAAAAATATATTTCAAGGACATCAAAATCGATGAGATGTTCATTCCTCCGAATAATTACTGCACAGTGCTGTCATCGTCGTTATCGTCGCCGTCGCCGTTTTTGTTGTTATTATGGCTATTAATATTATTTATTTACATAACCGTTTGTACACTACCGTCTATTGTAAGTATAGACTAGTGAGTCACTTCTCTTCCATTACTTTACTGAATTACCTCTTTCTTACCTACATACTATTCACATCTCACATTAGCTCTATCGACCACTACGCTAAAAGTGGACAGAGGAAAGGGAACTCTTCCACTCACGAAGCTCGGGGCGCCTCGGTTTTCGACGCATGGTCATTGTTGACGCGCGGTAATAACAAAGGAAAATTCTCTATAATTTCGTCTCACTCCGTTGTATTCTGCCTTGCTTCTGTCGTTTGTTATTGCCGTTCACCAATAATCCGCAGGCATGAAAAGCCAAAGCGGTCCGAGCTTGGTGAGTGGAAGAGTTCCCTTGCCCCTGTGCATTTTTAGTTTGTTGGTCGATGGAGCCAACTTGAGAGGCGTATAGTACTGGGTTCTAACGATCATAATCGAATTATTCGGTTTTTAATCACTACTACATTTACACATACTTATATTAACTGCTAATATAGTATGTAGCAATTAAAGTCTACCAATTACACAGCGTCTACATTACGCGCAGATAAGCTATATAGATGAATACTGTCGAAACATTTAACATGAATTTGGGATATAAACGCCTATGAACGGTTTGCTATAATTGTAATAATGTAGAGCATTTTGGAAAAGACTGTAGATCGCACGTAACATGTAAAAATTGAGAGCTATTAGGTCATAGCAAAGATAATTATTATCTACACGTAACAAAAATAAGCGAAAATTGAATGCCTGGAACAAGAAATTAGTGGACGAGTTAAGCCTGGGGTACGAAAAATGAAATCTGTTTTACCTATGAAGCGCTAGTTATTTTCGGAATGTTAAAGTTTACGCATAATTTATTAAATCATTGTCGAAGTTATAACGTAAGGGGATACTGTGGTCATGGTACAAAGAATAGACTACGCATTCAGATGAGTTCAAGAAAAACTAACACAACCCATCTTGACAAATTCGACCTAAGTAGGATTTGTTTGTTTGGCTTATAATTTAGGGCCATCGCGTACGGCAACGTGTTACAGAATACGTTCAAAAAGAAAGATTTATAGTCTCAAATTGGTAGATAGTGGTTAAAAATTCAAGAATTTACGTTTAAAATCGGATACAAGGTAAATTCAAGAATGGGACACGCGAATCGACTGTTTTGAAAAGCAGAGCAGATTGTTGAGAAGTGCGTCTTAAAAAACGATAAGCTATATAGACGATTTCCTGATAAGATGTTACGCTGGATAATGACTAAGAATGTTCATTTACAAGTTTGTAGGTTATGTTATGACTTGTAGCATAAGTACTTCTGAGTCTGATTTATTTTTTCTGGATCTCAATGAAGATAATTAACGATAGAGGTACGGTGTTCACGTCGAGAACATTCGACAAGTTTTGTGGAATCCACGACACAGGTGACAAACTGTCTTCCCCCAATGTAGTGACTTTCGATTATCTGTTACCCTATCTACTATCCAGGATGATTTACAGAGAAACTTTCAGAGAAATTATGTTAGCTAAAATAATGTGGTTCAAGAAGAGCTTTACGATGAGCTTTTTGATTATATCAAATTTGTTGGCAATCCTATTTTTTAGAGTTATCAAGGTCACTTTCAGTACACGCACATTACGAAACACTACTAACACTTCACGTTCAATATATTATTAAATGTGTCGCAAGGTACAGAACGAAATGTTTACAAACAGTACGCGAGGGATCAAGTCAATAATGATTAATACTAATCTATCAACAGCTCTAGAAAGTGTACAAGAGCGTGGCTTGCTATTCCTCTTTAATAATCCTTAATAATCTTGCAAAACTCTTTCAACTGTGAGTTTTTTCAATCTTGTTAGATTCAGAAAAAAATATTTGTTATGATGCTTGTTGAATTCGTCTCAGTGTCTCCTAAAAGATGGGTCAAAGAAAATCGTAGGTTTACTTGTAAAAAATTGAAGGTAACCTTGATAACTTTGGAAAAAGAGGGTTGAACAGCTCTATGTAAATAATATATCATACAAATTGGAGACTTTTATACATTTATATTTGTGAAGGTGCCTAGCCTGCTTGCAATTACGTCATGCATAACTAAGTGAGAAGGGAAAAGTAAGTATGGGGGAGCGTAACTCTCGCCGACCCGATCGTGAAGGGAAAGAGCCTTGGTGGTTCGCGAGCTCCAACTTCGACACTCCTAACCTAGATTATTGAATTAGAGTTAGCTTTGCAGCTTAAACACTAAAACTACTTTGGTAATTATTTACTTTAATGACTTTGACCTTCGCATATATTGTTAAGGACACGATTCTGAGTAACTATTTCTAATAATTTAATTGACGATTGCTTATAGTTCTTGACCTATTCATTAAAAAAGTTTCGGTATTTTGTTGATTGCGCTGTTCAACTCGATTTTTTATTTGCAATAGACACTAGATGATTCTTATAGAGACCCTTGTTTTAAATACAGATCTGAAAACCAATTTGCTAGATCATCCTTAGTTTTCGAAAAGTATGGGTTTTTCGATTCTTGGAAAGAAACAGGCATTAAGATATACGAAAAAATTAAAAACGTTAGGAAGTTAAATTTGCCGTGAAAAATACAGGAGATTTTCCTGAATATTTAACTATAAAAAGTTTGAATATTTCGTGTCATTTAATACTTGTAAATGATGATCAAATTTAGACAATGGGCAGATGTGAATACTTTGTACGCACTTTTGTTACATTTTTACGAAAAGTGAGTTGGTAAGTTGGTACGAGTATGCTACACAGAATAGGATTCTGCAGACATTTCTGAGGAGGAAATTACCCGCAGAAAATGTGAGGACGATTTTGTTCAAAATATGCATTTCTACCAACATTTGCAATCTTATGAAGATAAATGGGATACGCTACTTGCGCTACTATTATCCTAAGTTCTGATAGAATAGAGTAATTTATGTTTCTTTAATTCTTATATGACTAATTCTCATTTGGAATATAAGTATGTAAGTAACTAGATTGTTGTCATTATATTCTATGAGCTGTCTTCTAGTGAAAAAATGGAAATATAGAGCTCCTTCTAGTGTAATGTGTCGTATTTCTAAATGCAATACGTAGTGTCATTATAACTACTGACAGCAACAGATAAGTATTCCTTTTTTCTTTTAGTTATTTTATTTTACTTTTTTGCAAAATTTGTGACAGCTTCGTATATGGTACAGTACATATGGAAGTAGAAAATATTATAATTTTATTCGGTTGAAGTGTTTTCTTATATGATTTATGCAATTAAATATTATTTGATTACCAAAATATAATGCACGTTCGGATGTTTGAAATTTTTGAAAGTTTGTTTGATACATTTAACCATTCTTTTTCTCGCTTCATTAGACCATTTCCTGTTACGATAGATGTAACATTCATGTAACACTAATGTTAGTAGCAGTAATAGTAACACTGTATACAAACTGGTAATGGTTTAGATATATATCACATTTTCTGCATGGTGTAACATTAATGATACATTCAAACATTTCCGTATAAATAACAAATTGTTGTACTGGGGATTTTTTACTTATTTTTACGACAACATATGGTCGAAACAATATTGATAAGAATTTAGTTAGTGAATGGCCATATTGCCGTTTGCGTTAGTGTTCTGTAAGTAATTATTCAATTCACAGCAGTGTATAAGTATCGCATATACTACTGAACAAATTGTTTCGTTTAATATGTATATGTTGTGATTTTTTTTGTAATTTCTTTTTATATATCATTTACAATTTTTAGTATTATTTCCCAGAATAATGTCTTACTTTATTTTTCACTAATAGGTATAATTAACTCGACAATCTCATAAATTGAAGTCTGAAAATAATTATATTGTTTTAAGAGTTGGCAAATCTCTTCAGATTTTTTCGAAAGGTATTAGTCGTGTAAGTAAAATCGTACAATATTTTTTTTAAATATTTGTTTATTACAATGTTATACACCTTTAAGCAAAATCTTAGTTTTCCATGACTTTATTTTGATTTTTAATTTTTATTGTCAAATGATACAAAAATTTACCTACAGTGTCATTTGTATATTAAATTAAAAACTATAATAACTATCTTAAAATTTTTTCAGATTTGTACAGTAATCACAACAATGAAAATTCAGGTCCGACCATAAACGGTCCAGGTTGTCGGAAATTATATTGCCGGTACAGTGGGGTGTTAATTTTATTTACTGACAAAGTTCAACATAAACACTATTTAAATTACTAAATTTTTTAAATCGTGGAAGCAATCATTTCCCAACGTTATTTAGTTCCATTAATTACAATATTTTTTACATTACTGTACTGTAGAATTCAATATAGTGATACTGAACATTTTTTTATTGTCTTGAAAATTAAAACAGAACAACCTTTTGTCACAGCGAAAAGTTGTTCAAAACATCGATTTCTAGAATATTTATCAATTTTATGAAAATCGGTTCCACTATCACTTTGTTCTTGTATTAACTGTAAATGTAATACCAAATGTTGTATATTTCTGAAACTAAGATCGATTGTAAAAAGAATGACTAAATATCACGGTTATGCATATATACTCAATTCTTGAATATTTGTAACAATAACAGTGTTCTTATTGAATTTTTTATCGTGAAAGGAAACTTCAGCATTAATAGAATAAGAATGTAATCTATAAATATTACTACAAATATAAAATTCATGTAAAATTTGGCAATCTCACGCGACAAAACTATGCGACATTATATCGGGTGTCATGTAACTGGTGATACAACAAATATAAGTCGAAAATATACAATACAATTTTTTCATATACGGCTTTGTTTTTAAAAAGTCGACTTTGAATATTCGCTGGGTACACATGCACTTGGCCATGTATCTATATTGGATTTCTCTGTAGATTATTTTCTTGATTCAAGTTTATGCTGATAAAGACTTCCAGAATTATTAAAATATTTACCTTACTTACTATCCTACTATCCTTAACATATTGTTGACCGGCAATTTTACACAAAAACAATCCCATGTCGCCGGTTATTATTCTGTAATCAAGTATGAAATTGAAACAATCTAAATAACCTTTAACATACTTTATTTATAAATAATGAATTGAAATGAATCTTTCGGCATATCTTGTATATAACTTTGTATGTTTTGCTTTTGCAATGTTCTATATCGCCCTGCGTTTCAAAAATTGAAACAGCTAATATAACTGCAAACACAAGTTAACTTGTGACTGGTCAACAACGTTAGGGTATGAAAACGCGACTTAACTCGTGATCGGTCAACAACGTGTTAATATTCTAAGTAAGCTTTTTAAGCTTTCGTCGACTACCAACAAACTACAATTGCATAGGGGTAAGGAGAATCGGCGCAGACTCTATTTATTATAGCGTTTCATACATTAATACAACAAAATGCGTTAGAGCGTTTTTTAATTCGAAGGGCAGAAATATGTATTCGATAGAATGAATAACATTTTCAACAAGTTTTGTAATAATAATTTTATTATTTAAAGTATTTTTAACTGTCAAGTATAGTAACTATATTCGTGACGTTGGCAGTCTTTATCAACATAAACTTCAATCGAGACAATGATCTACAGTGAGATCCATTAATTCGCATACCCGGCGAATATTCGAAGTAAATTTTCTCGAAAATAAAGCCTCATATGAAACAATTTTATTCTAAATTTTCAGCTCTCGTACGGTTATACCACCAGTTACATGACTGTATATTTAACCCACACAAATATCAAAACTTTTTTAATGAATATTCCAAAAATCATAAGAAAACGTCAAATAAGTTTTTAAAATAAGTTATTTGAAATCATATATTTAATAACATACATGAAAGTCAAAGTCATCGGCACGGTGTCCGTTAAAGTAAATATTTGCCAAACCTTTTTTTGCGGAGCCGATAATTTTTCTTTTAGACGTCGCCACTTTTGACTGAAATGCTTTTACTTTTTTTGCTTCCTGGTATGATTGTCGTGATGCGCTTCTGCAAAACTGCTATGACCTTGGATAAAATAAATATTTTTATAAAAAAAGTCTCGTATACTTTTAACATATACAATAATGAAAGTAAATAAAGTTTTCAATTGATACATCCGATAGTTACTGTTTTGAACGATTTCAAAAGTCACTTCTCTGACACGGAATTACAGAAATAAGACCATTTAAACGTTCATATATCTATAAAATACGCTCAGAATTATTATCTTTATAAAAGTCTAAGAATGTAGGATATTTAAAAGTTCTAAAAGATTGCCCGAAAGCGTACCTCGGTATTCTTTAAAACGCAGCACGTGAGAGGGACCTGCCTCCTATTTCCTGAAATTTGCGCGTCTCTCCACCAAGCCGTACCATTGTAATCTCCATACCCATGTATTCCACAGCAATTAAACTGCAACGGAATCACCTATATGCAATTCAGACCATCGTAACATGTATGGATGAGCAGCTTTCAAAATGCAGCAGGTACCATTTATGCGCGAAATAAAATTTGCAAAACTACTTTTCCATGTTTCTTACATATCTGACTGCAATATGGACAATTTGTAGAGACCTGTTTTAAACACTAATGACAAATTTTACATATGTACAATAGAAGATAACCGGGCACTAACGTAGTTATCTTACGTTGTTAGTTCTAATAATCAGTAGAGATCCTTGATGATAAAATGAACACATTAAAGGTCTAGGGTAAGAATCGTGCCATGTCATAAATAATTATATTTCTTGTATTCTTAAATATAAGGATAAACAAAACTTTTTTTTAAAGTAGTTATAATATGTAGATAAACAATTTACATATAATGAAGGCGAATATATTTTAAATTGAAAACAGTTTTGTTTATTTTTATTTTTAAAAGTAAAAGAAATATAAAAGACCATATTATTTATGGGGTAATAGTGTGTATTTCAAAATTTTGAAATTAATCGCCCTACTACGATTTTATACTTGAATATTTTGGCATAGTCGTTATGAAAATACAATAAATCTTCTCAATAAAAATATTTACATTAATTATAATTTTATAGAAATACAAGTAAAGTATGACTACGGGAGGGAAAAATAAAGATAAATTATTTTGTTATATAAAAGAATTGAGAGAGAATGGAAAGACAGTGAGTAGACTGACTGTAAGTGAGTGGTGAATACTGAGTAAGAGGACAACTTTCTTCGCGTACAGGATACATCATTCATCGTTCATCGTTGTCTATATAATCATCATGAATTTTTAATTGTTTACGTGATAAATACTCATGGCAATGTCATATGCAAAACGAGTCGTAAGAAGGGAAATGGAAGTCTCTCTTCTTCTTTGGATATTATCTTCCTAGTATAGTATACAAAAATGTTATTTCTAAGTGTTCGATATACGAAATTCCACTTTTAGGTACCCAGAAATTAAGGTGTTAAGCGTACTATATATTTTAAGATCATTAAGCATAAGAAGAAGGGGAACTAGTTATGTCTAAAGGTATCTAAACAAAATTGACACAACTTTAAGAATATCAACCACTCTTTCACTTGTCAAGCTTATTTGTAGTGATTTCTGTTTCAAATCTTCTTAAGAACAGCAGTATATGTGTTACTACTCTGCAAAAATCTGTTTAAACTGAAAGGGAACTTGATTAATTTAAGCAAAACTCTGCTCATCTCATTATCGGCTGCACTACTTTAGAATATCGATACCTTTTAATATACAGATTATGGAACTAGATGAAGAACATGCATAAAATAGTTAGAGTGTAGTAAACATGCTCTTAGGTTAAATAATCAATTATTATTATTAGATACAGTAATACCTTATATTGTGCGAAGTCGAGACTATGGCTGAAAGGTATATCGCTGGTTGGTTCATGACCATATTCGTCAGCCAATTTGCTAATTAATCTTCCTTCTAATCCAGAAAGTATTTGAAAGGTCATCACTCCGCCGACCGTGGCAGTAACCAGTTCTGTGACGATTAGAGCTACGAGCATGCTCATGTACTAAATGAATGTAAATATATTAGTTACTGTAGATCTGTAATTCATGATTAAGGAAAATGTAACGAAGCCGCAAAATTGATCTTTTAACACTAGAACTACCGACCATTTATTAGGGTTCACGTGTAATCCTCGTAAATATTGTAACACTACATTTTGTTCAATTTCTTCATGTATTCGTTATAGTATTTAAGTGAAACTATTTTAAAAATATTTTTAATATTTAGTACTTTTAAAACATCAATACTTGCAAAATAAGAAAACTAAAATCTGTCATTTTAACGGGTACAGGAGTTTTAGTGTTAAGAGCTGATGACATTTATTAGCACGTCATTTTAGTAGGTCATACGATTTTATACTAGTCTCGAGTAAAATGTACTACGCGTTGATGGAGAGTTGGCACCTGGAACGACACAGAAACAAGAGAGGTTTTTCGCTATGTCTTTTGTGTATAGAATTGATTGATTAGTAACTGTACTGACGGATACCACATTCGCGCCTATTAATTCTACTTTGACCAATCAGATCTACATTCCTTTTAGATAACTTCTTTCTACCGACGTGTAGGGCCCGGTATACAGGGTGTACCGTAACTAGTGGTGCAATCGAGCGGGAAGTGAGTTTATGAGAAATACTGAATTGACATATAGAATAAAATTTTTCCATATGAAGCTTTGTTTTCAAGAAAAACAAGTTTGAAGATTTTCAAGTACCCGTGCACTTGATTCAGTTTCAGCTCTACGGATCTTTACCGTTACATATTTCTATCTTACTTTCCTGAGTACGAGAGTATTTCTGTGCTTCTGTAATATTTACAAACATTATCAACATAATGATATCTCTTGTATCTGTTCTACTTTCTTTTTATGTTTATGGAACAGAGCTTTTAATTTCCGAAATACAGTGAATATAGTCGAGAAGTAAGACGCTGTTTAAAAGAAAATTATCACTACTTGATTGGTCGTGATGGCCGAACACTTTGGCCGCTACGATCTCTGGACTTATCACCTTTAAATTTTTATTTGTGGATCATGTTAAGATAACATAACGAACGTTGCACAATTAAAATAAAAAACTATTATACCGTTTGAGCATTTCAAATTGCATAACGATTCATTAGATAACGTTCAGTGCATGTAATAAAAAGAGTACAGTTGTATTTGCAACAATGTGGATATCATTTCCAATAGTTTATAAATTAGACGAATTATTGAAAAGTGAGTAATATTAAAATCGCGGTCTTGATCATCGATCCATTCGGTGTATACATTGAGAACGTTTACGAACATGAATGAAGGTGAATCACAGTAAAATCCGTCGAGCTGAAACTAGATCAAGTGCATGCGTTCCCGACGAATATTCAAAGTCGATTTTCTCGAAAACAAAGCGTCATATGTAAAAAATTTGTTCCACATTTTCGATTCAGTTTTTCACGTAGAATCTTCTGTTTGCTTGTACCACAAGTTACGGGACACCCTGTATATTATCGGTTAGGTCTTGATCCGCTTTCGATTCAACCAAATATTATTCAATTGTTTATATTGCATGTATTTATAGTATAAATCTTGGACCGATGTTGTTTTAATCTCGCTTTATCTTCGTTCCTAGATAAGGATATATAACAATAGACATAGAAAATATTTTGAGCAGATTGAGATCGAATCGACAGTGTGTATCAGGCCTAATAGGTCTACTGTTTTTATTATATTAATCTAATTAAAAAAGTCATGTCTGATATTGTCTTCTACCTCATAGTAATTTATGCTAAAATTAAATCGGAGGATTTACTGAGAATGTGTTCTGTTGGTAAACACGTACACACCTGTTTTAAGAAACGTGTGGTTAGTCGTATTATTTTTATAAATGAGTTTTGTAAAGTGTTTAAAGTTTCAAAACGGCTTACACCTGGAAACTTTGAACACTTACCACAATATTCCTGGCCATGGAAGCCACAAACAAATCGTAACTTTCTAAGTTAAGTTAGAACTCATATCCTCTGAAGGATATAGGCAATTGCTCACTCACAATATGAACGTGATTGAAGTGAACTGCTATTGATTGAAATTTTTTAAAATAAAAGTCTGTCTTGGTTACACATACGTTACCAAAATCAGGAACTGTATTTTTAGACAGCATTAATTTCTTTTTAATGGACACAAACAAAGAGAGTTTGATAAAAAACTTTATGGAAAGTCAATTGTATTAGGGGAATTCTGATTGTATTTTACACGTTCTAATGAATGTATTTCAAGATCTTTATGTTTGAAATTTGTATAACGACGATTCAACGATCATGCAGAGAACTTTACAACTTCGTTATACCTTTTCTACTGATTGTAAATATACGACATTTGTAATATGTATCAATGACTTACAGTAGCTAAAATACATTGATTTTCGTACAATGCGGCACGACATCCGAAGATTCCAACTGTGAGCACCGTAAAACCGAGACCCAGCAGACTGTCAGCTATTAAGTTGATAGTCTCGTGTGGCGTAGCGTTAGGTACGAAAAGATTTAGCAGATGTCCCTTGCTTGGCTCCAGCAGCAACCACGCTCCTATTATCAACACCGTACACCCGGCCAACTATCCGACAACTTTTATTAAAGTAACTTTTCATTAATTAGAAACATCGCAGTGCAGGACAAAATGATAGTTTAGTGGCAATTCATTTTTTAATCGTCATTAAATTTTTAATGAATTTACGAAAATTTTTAATGGATGTGTGAAATGTAAGAGAAATAGTGGAGCAATCGTTTCGAAGCATCTTGATTTTTAGTTCCTGTTTTATTAAGAAAACTGTTTCAACTGCATATGAGTTTTGATGAGTGTTTACTTACCAGTCAAAGTGTTAAGCACGACAAGATAGGGCTTTCGCGTCTAAAAATTTTCTTTGCAATTTCTGAATCAGAATCTATTCTTTGATAGAGTTTTATGTAATATTTTTGACAAGATGTTACTTACAAATTTTTCTAATATATATTTCTTTCAAACTCTTTAATGAGCAATCTAACGCATGACTTGCTGAAACAGGTTTCCTACGGTGTGGTATATCTTTCCGAAAACATAAAAGTAAATATTTACTTTTAGAGGCACCATGCTGATGACCTTGATCTTCACACATATTCTTAGGAACACGATTGTAAATAATTTTTCCTAACAATTTAATCGAAGACTTCTCATAGTTCTCTATATTAGACCTAGACAATTACCAGTTCGCGAACCACATGCGATTCGTCTCTGTTTCTCAATTCTTAACAGAGACACACATCATGTCCATTTGTGGTGCAATGGAGAAGTAAAGAGATATGAGGGTGCATACAGCACTTTGAACTATCTCTCCCTCTTTATCTTCATGCCACAAGTAAATAGGCACAATTAGGTCAATAGTGGAAAAGGGACAATAAAAGGGGCATCGCATGTGGCTCGGAGGTCAACAGAGTAGAAGCTTCTTTACGGTATTTGTAAATATAATATTTGTGAAAGTAATATTGTAGTGTGTGGACCAATTTATCGATTTTTGTAAAATTCTTATATGCTGTAAAAAGGCACATTCTGAACAACACTTTGCTGTAAAAAAATATTACTTTCAGCTGTGGCGGTAGCTTCCAGCACTCCACCAATAGAGGACTAGCGCGCCTTTCTCGCTCTTACTCAGTCCTTATGCAATTTGTGTATAAGACATCCGTAAACTTCTAACACTCGTTCCAGCGTCTAAGACAGGGATCTACCAGAACGCCTTACTGACGAGTCCACTGATAGACACTGGACGAAACGTCCACTCCCTCTCTCCTAATCTTTTCGAACTTCTACCTTCTTTCGGTAATTTAACAGGCCGCTTTACGTCTAATTTCTAAGATAATCGCTTAAAAGCCCCACTACTACTACATTGATGTCTATATACATGGACGTATCTGTGACAAAACCACAAGCATAACCATACGGCCATCGATCTTCAGCCGTAGTCTTCTCGGGTTTCATATATCGTGTATTGCTTAAGAGATGGCATTCAAAAGGAACACGGGTTTAAGTGATCGAACTGGAAGAAGGTTATAACCTATCGCCTCAAACATTTACGGTTCTAGAATGCAATTTGTCAAAACGAGCATTTAGTACGCCTCTCACGTCTTGGCCGACTATCCACAAGCTAGAAGTGCGCAGGAAGTCTCTTAGTTTTATTTCCGAGTTCCTGTCATGAAGGCCTACTCCAGAAGGCCCCCGTGAGCGCAGATTGGACTAACACCGGAGCAGGTGGGACGCTGTTCACGCGGCAAGATCCTCGAGGAATCCCTTAGCTCAGCATTCA